AAAAGAGGAAAAACAGTGAATTCTTAAAATATTTGCTGCTTTGAGATTTGCAAAGCATTAGATAAACCAGAGATCAATTCAGTGAAAACTTTGACAAGGAGATTTTCTTAAATGTAAAAAAGAACCTAACAGAACTGAAGAATATAACTGAAATGAAAAGTATAGAAAATATAGAAGAAATCGACAGCAGGTTAGATGACACAGAATGACAGATCCATGATCAGGAAGACAGGATAGTGGAACTCAAAATGAAAAAAAGAATTAAAGAATGAGGATAGCATAAGGAACCTCTAAGACATCAAGCATACAATATTCACACCATAGAGATCCCAGAAGGAGGAGAGAAAAGGGGGAAGGAATATCTATTTAAAGAAATAATACCTGAAAACTTCTCTAATCTGGCAAAAGAAGCAGACACCCAAGTCCAGGAAGCACAGAGAGTCTCAAACAAGATGAACCCAAAGAGATCTACACCAAGACACGTCATAATTAAATTGCCAAATATTAAAGATAAAGAGAGAATCTTAAAAGCAGCAAGAGAAAAACAACTAGTTATATACAAGAGAACCCCCCTAGAAGATTATCAGTTGATTTTTCAGCAGAAAATTTGCAGGCCAGAAGGGAGTGTCATGATATATTTAATATGATGAAAGGGAGAATTGTTCAACCAAGAATACTCTATCCAGCAAGGTTATCATTCAGAATTGAAAGAGAGATAAAGTTTCAAGACAAGCAAATCTAAAGGAGTTTTCCATCACTAAACCAGCATTACAAGAAATGTTAAACAGAATTCTTTTAAGTGGAAAAAAAGGCCAAAACTAGAAATAAGAAAATATATGAAAGAAAAAAAATCTCACTAGTAAAGACAAACATCTAGTAAAGGTAGTAGACCAAACACTTATAAAGAAAATGACATACATACCTATTAATAATTACTTTAAATGTGAATGGACTTAAGAAGAGATGAAATACTGCCATTTGTGACAACATGGATGGACCTCGAGATAGTCATACTGAGTGAAATAAGCCAGACAGAAAAAGTTGAAAATCACATGATATCACTTATATGTGGGATATAAACCTAAAAACAACAAATGGACAGGACAAGCAAACAGACTCATGGACATGGACAATAGATTAGTGGTTACTAAGGGGTATGGAGTGTGGAAGGAGTGGGGAGGTAGATGGGTAAAGGGGATAAAATATAGGAAGGTAGGGAGAGGGTAAAGTGGGTAAAGGGGATCAAATATATGGTAGCTGAAGGAAACTGAACTTTGGGCGGTAAACACACAATAGAATATATAGATGTCAAATTATAATGTACACCTGAAAATTATATAATTGTATTAACAGATGTTATCTCAATAAACTTCATTTAAAAATTGAAAAATAAAAATAAATAAATGTGAATGAACTAAATGTTTCATTCAAATGACATAAGGTGGCTGAATGGATAAAAAACAAGACCTACATATATGCTGCCTACAAGAGACTCCTTCAGATCTAAAAACACACATAAACTGAAAGTGAAGAGATGGAAAAAAAATTTTCTATACAAACAAAAATGAAAAGAAAGCTGGGGTAGCAATACTTAAACAAAATAGACTTTAAAACAAAGACTGTAACAAGAGACAAGGGTATGACAAAATGAGAAAAGATTCAATCCAACAAGAAGATGTGACACTTGTAAACATCTACATATCTAACATAGGAACATCTAAATACATACAGCAAGTAGTTACAGACATAAAGGGAGAGATTGACAGTAACACCACAATAGTAGGGGAAGTAAATACTCCATTGATCAATGGATAGATGGTACAAACAAAATCAAAAAGGAAACACTGGCCTTAAATAAAATATTTTCTAAATGGACTTAGTAGATATGCACAGAGCAGTCCATCCAAAAACAGTATATATTCTTTTCAAGCACACATGAACATTCTCCAGGATAGATCACATGTTAGGGCACAAAACAAGTCTCAATAAATTTAAGAAGATTGGAATCATATCAAGTATCTTTTCTGACCGCATTAGTATGAAACTAAAAATCACTGATAAAAAGAAAACTGGAGAAAACATATGTGGAGGCTGAACAACACGCTACTAAACGATCAATGGGTCAGTGAAGAAATCAAAGAGAAAATCAAAAAAGAGCTTGAGACAAGTGAAAATGAAAATGTTATTCTAAAAGAGAAGTTTATACAGGCATACCTCAGGCAATACAGGCATACCTCAAGAAACAAGAAAAATCTCAAATAATCTAAACTTACATCTAAAGGAACTAAAAATAAAAGAACAAACAAAGCCTAAAGTTAGTAGAAGGATGGAAATAATAAAGACCAGAGCAGAAGGATATGAAATTGAAATTGGAGGAGACCTCACTCTCCCTGATTTTGAACTATACTACAAACTATAGTAATCAAAACAATATAGTACCAGCATAAAAACAGACATATAGATCAATGGAACAGAACAGAAATCCTATAAATATAATCAATTAAATTGGCAACAAAGGAGGCAAGAATACACAGTGGAAGAAAGTCTTCAATAAATTGTCTTGGAAAAACTGGACAGCTACAGGCAAAAAAATAAAAATGGATCACTTTCTTAAACCCATGTACAAAAATAAATACAAAAAGTGTTAAAGACTTAAATGTATGACCCCAAAGCATAAAACTCCTAAAAGAAAACATAGGTAGTAAACTCTCTGACATTAAACTTAGAAATATATTTTTGGATGTCTCCTTGGCAGGGGCAACAAAATTAAAAATTAAAAAAATGAGATCTACTTTAAACCAAAAAGCTTTGCACATTGAAGGAAATCATCAACAAAATGAAAAAGCAACTTACTAAATTGGAGAAAAGATCTTCAAATGATATATCTCATCAGAGGTTAATAGCCAAAATATATGAAGAACTTATACAATTCAAAAGTGAAAAATCAAATAATCCAATTAAAAATCAGCAGAAGACCTGAATAAACATTTTTCCAAAGAAGACATATAGATATTAACAAACACATGAAAAGATGCTCAACATCAGTAATTATCAGGGACACTGAAGTAAAAACCATAATGAGATATCGCCTTACACGTGTCATAATGGCTATCATCAATAAATCAAAAAACAAATATTGGCAAGGATGTAGAGAAAAGGGAACCCTTGTGCACTGTTGGTGGGATTGTACATTTTAGTGCAGTCACTATGGAAAACAGTATGGAGATTCATCAAGAAAATTAAAAGTAAAACTACCATACAATCTAGCAATTCCAGTTCTGGACATTTATCCAAAGAAAATGAAAGGACTAATTTGAAAAGATACATACACCCCTATGTTTACTGCAGCATTATTTACAATAGCCATGATATGGAAGCAACCTCGGTGTTCAGCAATAGATGAATGAATAAAGAAGAGTTAGTACATATATATAGTAGAATATTAGTCATAAAAAAGAATTAAATCTTGCCATTTATGACGAGATGGATGAACCTAGAGGGTATTATGCTAAGTGAGATAAGTCAGAAAAAAGATAAATACTGCATCATTTCACTTATATGTAGAATCTAAAAAACTAAACAAATAAACAAACAAAACAAAACAAAAGACTCATAGAAACAGAGAACAAACTGATAGTTGCCAGAGGATTGGGCAGTGGGGGCATAAGCAAAAAACATGAAAGGGATTAAAAGGTACAAAGTTATAGTTATAACATAAATAAGTCATGCAGAGGTAATGTACGTCATAGAGATACAGCCAACGATATCAAAATAACTTTGTACGGTGACAGATGGTTACTAGACTTCTTGTGATGATCACTTCATATGGAATATAAATGAAGTACACCTGAAACTAATATAATATTGTATGTCAACTATGCTTTAATTAAAAAGAGCTTTACAGTCCAGAATGAAAAAGAAAGAATAAGAATAAGAATAAGAATAAGAATAAGAAGAATAAGAAGAATAAGAATAAGAATAAGAATAAGAATAAGAATAAGAATAAGAATAAGAATGAGAATGAGAATGAGAATAAGAATAAGGAGGAGGAGGAAGAGGTGGAGGAAACCGAGAACCAGTACTTCATTATCTATAGTGGTGTGATAAGTCCCAGAGAAGTGCTGCACTCAGCACCCCCACTCAACACAAAGAATCTGAAACAAGAAGATATAGGGAAGGAATAGAAAGAAGACATGTATGAAATGAAGGCATATCCGTCCAGGTGGAACACTCTCCGAAGTCTTAGCTGCGAGCCTTCTCCAGTTTGTGCAGTGCAAATTAAGAAAAGAGCTAAATCAGTATGTGATTCCTGCTATGTGAATGTGTGTGTGTGTGGGGGGGTGCATTTGTTGCTTGCATACCCAAGGGATAATGTTGCTATCCATATCAGTTATCTGTTGCTATATAACAAGTGGTTCCAATTATTTATTAGCTCGCTCATCTTTGCCTAAAGCTGGAATCAACTGAGCATTTCTTCTCCTGTCTCTCCTAGAGTCATCCAACTACAATCAATTGGAGGGTCAGCTGGGAGCTGGCTGGTGCAAAATGGTATCACCCCTTTATGGCAGTTTGTGCTAGCTATTGACTAAGTTACATGTCTCAACATGCTGCCTAGTAGAGAAAGGGTTTGCAGCAGCCAGAGAAGGCAAGCTCTGATGCACAAGCCCTTTTCAAGCCTCATCTTGCATCACATATGTTAATGTTGCATTAACAAAAGCAAATTGCCTGGCCAAGCCCAGATTCAAAGAGTTAAGAGCAAGTTTCCACCTCATGATGGGAAGAACAACAAACTCACAGTACACAAGCCATGTATATGGGAATGAGAGAGTTCTGTGGTCATTTTTTATAATCTACCAAACCATCCTAATTTTGAGTTCACAGAGGGTAAATTCAAGATTGGAGTATATCATGTATTTGTGCAGTGAGACATTAGAGGAAGGAAACTGGCATTTGGATTGAGTCAGAAAAACTTGAGATCAAAGCTTAGCTTTATTACTTACTTAGTCTGTGACATTGGACATGCTCTTTAATCTCTCTGAGCCCATTTCCTCATCTGTAAAATGAAGACAATGTTATCTATTGCACAGAATGAAATGCCTAGACATTACCTACGATATAGGCCTTTCAGAGATTTAATTTCTGCCTACGGATATCTATGCCTGCGTGAATGAATGTGTTTCATGGCCAGCAACTATAATTGGGTAAGAGTGTACAGGGCTTTGGCTTTTCTGAGTACTAAAGTTTAGTGTTTGGCAAATAACAACACAATAATCCCCAATATAGAGCTTTTCACATCAAAAACCACATGCCACATGGAACTGTTTGAGCTGTGAGGGCCTGAAGGCTTGGGGGCCCTCCAGACCTCAGTCTCTCTGAGAGGCTGACTCACACAGGCCCAGAAAGGAGGAGCACAGGATGATCAAGCAAGGGGGCATTAACCCCATCATGCTCTAACTTTCTCCATTATGCAGTCTTTACAGACTTAATGGCCAAGAAACTATGCCCAAAATGAAAGGAATTTGGCAGCAGAAGGACCTTGATCTTGTGTAGATTCTGTTGAGAGACTTGAGCACAGATATTCCACTCAGGATCCAGTCATAAGAAGAGGTTAGAGTGTAAAATTCTTAGTGCAAGAGCAGTTGGAGGGTTCATGACATTCGAAGGTGAATTTTCCAGAAAATTGAAAGTCACAAAGCATCAGCATTTGAGAAGGTAGTGTTCTGGATCTGTTCACATGGATATACATACAGTTGTAGCTTTCTGAAACACTATACCCACAGAACTGGACCTGGACAGGGTCTGCTGTAGCCTGTGGCAACCAGTGTTGAGAACCCCAAGACTGTTCTACAGCCAGGGTGTAAATGCACTTGCTGGCAGGAAGCACACTCATAATTAAAGTTCTTTAAGGACATTAGGAGAATATGTTTATGTAAGGCTATGACTGGTTCTTGGATGCAAAAACAGGGCCTTGAAATGACATGTTTGTGATAGGGGTTGAATACTTGTATTAATAACCAAGATCTAGGGAGATATTAGGCATAACAGTTTCTCAATAAGCTCACCATAGGTGCTCTCTGTAATCAGCTCAAAAATATTGAATATTTGAGCAAAAAAAAATCAGTAGCCCAAATTGTTAAAGTTGGATATGCTGATCAACTTATTTCTAGATTTCCTAGTGTTAGCCCTACGTATTCCACATCTCAAGAAACCCCACAATCCCAGGCAAACCAGGATGGTTGGTTACCCTAAAGTTAGACTATCTCTAGTCACCAACACAGTCATCCATCCAAGATAAAATTTAATCTTGGACTCTCAGTGGGTTGCTATAAAGACCTTTTTGCAGGGATAAATTAACCAATGAAATAAAGGTTACCTTGTGCTCTCTCCCAATTAGTCCTTACCTGGTGTATTTGTCAGGATTCTCCAGAAAAACAGAACCAATAGGATGGAGGCGGGGAGGGAGAGAGAGAGGGAGAAAGGAAATAGAAAGATTGATTTATTGTGATTTTGAAGGTTGCAAAGTTCAAAATATGCAAAGTATGTCAGCAATGTGGTGACCCAGGGTGAAAATATGTTGCAGTCTCTGAAGACCATTTAGAGGTGGCAGAATTTCTTCTTTCCTAGGGAACCTCAATCTATTTTATTTTTAAGGCCTTCAACTGATAAGATGAGATCCACTCACACTATGGAGAGTGATCTGCTTTACTTAAAGTCTACTGATTTAAATGTTAATTTCATCTAAAAATATCTTCACAGCAACATCTAGACTGGTGTTTAACCAAATATCTGGGTATTGTGGCCTAGCTAAGTTGACACATAAAATTCACCATCACACCTCATCAGATGCCAGTAAAACCAAGATACAGTCCCATACCTGATAGCAACTTGGTTTCTGGTGGAAGATCCTAGGAAATATAGCCTCCTAGAAGATCTTCTTAGAGAAGACCTCTGATGTCTATGTGCACACTATCTACTCTGGTTAAGAAATTGTAGGGTTCATATAGGGCTTCTTCAAAACCAGGAGAATATCAAGGCTGGGACTAAACTCTTGGCCAGGGCCATTCTCAGTTTGCTTTATGGTGTTTTGAAGCCACAGCAACACTGGAATGAAAGCACTGATATCTCATCTCCTCCCTAAACTGTGGGAGGAATTGGAAAGCAGCAACTCTGGCCTCTCTAAAAGTTCTGGGTGTGCTAAAGTTCCCTGGCTCTGGCTGTAGCAGTGACAAGACGGAAGAAAAGCAATGCCTGTCAAACAATTCTACAGAGCTTAGAACATGGCTGACACAAACTTCTTCCTTCTAGCGAGGATATAAAAGTATGACCTGTGGCCAAAACTAGAATAGACAACTGTAGCACCTTCGATTGTAGGCAATACATGATTTGAAAATGTTACAGCTGTAATATTCAACCAACCATAGACTCTCAGCATTGGGAGGATCTTAATGTTCATCTGGCCATTGTATCCACCTGCAGTATTTATTTAAAATGAACTACAATAAGCCAGAGACAGCATCATTACTCGATTGGCTCTGATTTTCCCACTGTGTATTAATGACAGATCAAGTTAAAGGAATTTGAATTCTTCCAAGAATTTCTAATTGCTCTTGCCTTTCATGGCATTTATTTTTCTTCAGTCTTCTGTTATGGCTTTATTTGTCAGTGATTTTTCAGGGTTCCCATTTGATAGCACAGACTCAGATATTGAGAGTGGAAAAGAAAGGCAGAGAAGATGAGTAACCAGGAATAAGGAGCCTAAAGACAAGTGGAGGCAAGAAGAAACAATAGGAAAGATAGGGGCAAAAATAAAATTGAATGAGATGAATTAAGATGCCACGACTGCAAGAGAAGATAGCCATAACCAATGACAAAAAAGATAAGATTGGAAAAGAGAGAGAAGAGAGGAGGCTGAAGAATAAAGGAGGCAGGGTGATAGATTCGGGACCTGACATAGAGTGGAGCTTAGGCAGGTAACGGAATATGTAAAGGACCTTAGTTCTATTTGGTGGTAGCAGTAGACCCACTGGATGACATGGAAAAGCAAAGAAGTCAGCGTCTTGACCATGGGCAAAATATAACTACTTCCATTCTCTCTACTCATGCCCGAGACGGGCTGCCCCAGTTCTTGGTAGCTGCCATGGTCAAACCCCACAGTAGTGGAACACGCTGACTCTTCTTTCTCTCAGACAATAAGGTGAAAGTCTGCCTAGTTTTGAAGAGCTTCCCATTTTCTTCTAACAAATACTCCCTGCCTACATTACCCAGGAGACACGATGTCTCCCCATGCTAGTCTTCTATACTTTGGACACTCCCTCAGATAAATGAAAACATATATACATATCTTCCCCAAACACATTCTGACATTTACCCATATCAGCAAACAAGCCACAGATATTCTCTAAACCCTCTGAAAAACATGCTAACCCAGCATTTTCCCCAGCAGACACAAAACTCACGCTGATGTAAACACATGCGCACACACGTGCGCACATTTTCCTGAACATTGCAAAACTAAACAGCTGTTCAGTCTAAGTGGAGATGATATTTTAGAGATACTCTTGACAGTCCACAAGGGAGTCAATGCCATGGCCTATGATGGTGCCGAGCAGGTTGTATATCGAATGTACAGAATGTCAAAAGGAAAAATCATTTCCAAGAACAATGATGGAAGTAGCCCAAATATGTGCTTGGAAAAAAACAAGTGAATTTGGGTTTTGGTCCAAGTAAAATATCAAAAGGATGAATAAGAAAAATATATATGTGGGGCTTTGAAAAGTTATTTTTCTTTGTACAGTTAAAATGGCAAAGTTTCAATTTGGGTTTCAAATGCACGAGAGATGTGTCAAATGATCCAGTTTGTAGCTTGTGACCAGCCTGAGGGGAAATGATAAAACATTGTTTTGATTATGGACCTAAGATTGTTTCAATAAACACAGCCTGGAGATCACATTAATATCAAATTTTTAAAAAGTGCCTTTCTCTTTTTACTGAACTTTGAAAAAGGATTTTTATTTTGTTTTTGATGGGGTCTTTCGAGGTTCCTGCTTTTAGCCTCAGAAGCTTACACATCCCCACTGTTTTCTGACGTCCTTTAGTCCCTTCTTTGCACAACTCCTTGGAGATGAGCTGGAGTCTAAAGCTTTTATAACACTAGGCAGTAAATCTTACTCTCAGGGTCAGTCCAAGGCCATGAGACACTAGATGACAACCTGCAAAACTGACTCAATGTGCTGTGACTTTGGGGGATGTCAGTGAAAGAATGCGTGATTAAGAGTGAGAAGTCCTGATTTCAAGTCCGGGCTCTGTTATTTCTGAGCTTTTTCTTCTTCTATTTCTTCAGTCAGCAAATATTGCTGCATGTCTAATATGTGTCACACATTTGTAGGAACTGAATAGAGAAATAGAGGCAAAGTCAAGGAGTTTATAGTTGAGGGAGTGACAATGTATAAATAATATATAGTGCAGTGTGTAAGTGCTACAGTGGAAATACATGTAAGGTACAAAGATTGCACAGAGGAGAAAGTAAATTCCTCTATTGGGGAAGCAAGGGATAGACTTTCACTAGGAAGTGACATATAAATTAGGTTTCAAAAAACGGATAGACATCCAACCAGGATGTTCTTTGTGTGGCACAAAATGCTACATGGTTCAGAGATGGAAAAATACATCCAACAGGACCCATAAGGAGAGACGCCATAGAAGAAGTGACATATGAGTGAGGCACTGAAGAATGAGCAGAAGAAAAGAAGAAGGGAAAAGGTAATTCCAGAATGACCAGCAGTTGAGCAAACCCCGGAAGCAAGAGAATGCATTATATGTTAAAAGAAAGTGAAGCTAGAACTTGTTTGCTGGAGAACAGAATTCAAGTATGAAATTCATGCGAGGCAGCACTGGATGGGACTAGGTATGGAAAGCTGAGCTAAGGCATCCAGCCCTTATTCAAGACACAGAGGAAAACCACTAGGGATTTCTGTGCAGGGAGCAATGTGATAATAGAACTTCCACAGGACAATTCATCTGGCTGTCTGGGTCAGGGTGGAGTAGGAAGCTCTGTCAGTGCAGCCAGTGCAATAGCTAAGGTGAGAGGTGACAAGGTCTAAGCTGAATTGGTGGCAGGCAAACAGAAAGAAAGGAACACCTCAAGAAATATTGTGAAAGGAGAATCAGCAGTATTCTGTGACTAACGAGATGAAACCATCAGTCATGATTCAAAGGATTCAAAGACTTCAAGAACAGCTATACCATTAACAAAAATGGCAAAGTTAGGACAAAGGTATGTGTAGTATTCTTTTCATAGCTTTTGATTATTGTATAAGTAAAAATATTTGGTGAAAAAAAAACCTGAAAACACAGTTAAGGTAAAAGGAAAAAAGGTCCATAATCTCACTGTTAACATTCCCTTTTGATACACCCTCTCAAGTTTTTTCTTCCCCTATACATATGTATTTCTAATATATTAATCACAAATCAGGATCATTCTATTTTTATAACTTTTTTTCACTTAACAACTTATAGTGAACATCCTTTCACATCAATAATTGTAATTAAGTATGGTCGAACTGACTACGTAGAATTCTACCTATGGGTTTATTACAATTTACTCCATCTGCTCTCTGATGCTAAACATTCTGCATGATTCCAATTTTAGCTATAATTAACATCCTTAAAGCTGAATGTCTCTGTACATCTTTAATTGTTTCTCTAGTATAAATTCCTGAAAGTATAATTTGAGGTAAGATTTTTTTTAAGGCTTTCAAACCATACTGCCAAATTGTCCTTCAGGAAGAATGAGCTATTTATACTGCCATCAGCAGTATAGGAGAGTTAAGAGAGAAAGTTTTTATTGGTGAGGAAATATGAGTAGTTTCAGATATGTAAATTTAATGCACCTATAAGATGCATCAGTTGCAATGGCAAATAAATAATTGGGAAGGAAGGAATTATATTTTTTTTAAACAGGTCCCTCTTTCTGTTTCTCTTCTTTCTCTTCATCATCATTTCTCTTCTCTCCCCTTCCTCTTTCTCCCCTTCCTTTTCCTTCCTGAACAATTCAATCCTAAAGCTTTGGGTGGAATTGAGCAAGGTAGGCATTCACACACTGTTGGGGGGAGGAACAACAACCTGAGCCAGGGGTGTCAGGTGTCATCATTAGAGGGTGACCCGAGTTCTTCAAAGAATCTCAGAGCCCAAATTGAGTAAAGAGGTCATCTGTGCAAGAGAGCAGCCTAGCACAAGTTGTCAGAGTCTCAGAGAGATGAGGATGATCTTCATGCAGGGGGAGTTGGGTGGAGGCAGTGAGGGAAAATTTTTAACATATAGGACAATCAATCAAACAAGTACATTATACAGAGAATTATAAAAGCCAGACTTTTCACTGGGTTACTGTATTAGTCTGGATTCACCAGAGAAATAGAACCTATAAGAGATATAAATATAGACATAGATGTAGATATAGATAATGTAGATATAAAGA